CTTGTTTTAGCTCTAACACCATAAATAAGCTAAGTATCCTTTTCACAGTCTATTTAGTGCCACATTTTCACTTTTTGTGCTTTTTGTTGATAAATTTGTTGTTTAAAATGGCACCCAAGTATAAGGATACTTCAAAAAGTTCAAGGAAAAAATGAATTAAAATATAATCAAGTCCTTCTATGAACTTCTTTTTTTTGCTTTCTTGTTTTCCATGAACTTTTTGAAGACCTGTCATATACTGCTGAAATGCTACCTAGTGTTCCTAAGCACAAGAAAGCTTTTATGTATTTTATGGAGGTAATACATGTATTGGATAAGCTTCGTTCAGGCATGAGTAACAGTGCTGTTGACTGGGAGTTCAGTGTTTACTAATCAAGAGCATATACTAAATAAGGTCTTTAAATAGATACACATAAAAAAAAGGTTATGCATTAATCAGTTGATGAAAATATTGTGGACAGAGGCTCCCAGGAAACTAACCCTGTATTTTTCCTAGGTGCGATGATTCAGTATTTGCATATTCAGTATCTATAGTTACTTTATAGAACATAACAGCTCATAAATAACAAAAATAACACCATCAGAGATAAGAGCAAGGCAAGGAGATGTGGTAGCCCACAGCTGAGGGAAACTTGTGAAAGCCTATTGAGGACAGGTTTCCCAAAAAGGTTTCTGTCACCTAACAGATTCAAATACAACACCGATCTGGCTTTGTTTACAGGTCCATGTCCACATGCAGGGACAGGAAGCCCTCTTTTCTGAGAATATGCCATTAAAAGAAGTCATTGTTCATCTTACAAAACAGTTGTCAGCAGGAACCCCAACCGGAGAGAACATTAAGACACCCTTCCAGACTCCCCAATATACTGCCCAAGAAACAGGACAAGGTAAGTCAGGTGAATCTGCACACCACAGGGGTGTTCTATGTGGACCCATTCTTGGGCACAACCTCACTGACTGACTTTATTTTCACAGGAGATGAAGATAAAGAAGATAGCCACATTTTTTTGAAAATTCATCAAGTAAATTACAGTGTTAATAGTCAAGGAAATCAAGTATCTTCCCTTCATATTCTCCAGCAAGGGAACTGCCTTGGGCCTGAAGAGGAAGGTGTTTCTTATGAGAACCCTCACAATACCAGCAGAGCAGGACTGGGAACCTCCAGGTCCCAGGAAGGGTCCCTTCAAAGACCCTCTTATCACGATGTCCCTAAGGAGGTAAAATCAAGGTTTCTCTTAGAGCCAGACCAGATTTCCCCTGAGCCTATACCTACCCACCAGAGCATTAAGAGAAACTCCTCATGTGAGGGGGAACGAGAAAGATTCAACAGAGCCCCCAAATTTTACAAATGTGGGGAATGTACCAAGATCTTTAGATATCCGTCTCATTTATTGGCCCACCAGAGAAGACACAGGAATGAGAGGCCATTTGTTTGTGCTGAGTGTCACAAACGCTTCTTCCAGGCATCAGACCTTCACGTGCATCAGATGATTCACAGAAGAGAGAAGCCTTTCACATGCAGCATGTGTGGAAAGTCCTTCAGCCACAAAACCAACCTGCAGGCTCATGAGAGAATCCACACAGGAGAGAAGCCCTATATGTGTTCCTTTTGCCAGAGAAGCTACCGCCAGTCATCTACCTACCACCGCCACCTGAGGATTCACCAGAAAGTTACCCTCAAGTGTTTCCCCTCCATACCAGAGGATTCCTCTGCTACTGCCCTGATGTAATGTGTGTAAATATATATGGGTGTGTGTATATTTCTGTAATTCTTGGCTATTTAGAATATACCATGTAATTTCCTGATTAAGCTTTCCATTTATTGTCTCACTTCACT